CTGTTAAAAACTCTGGGTTCTCATTTAGTGAGCAAAATGCTAGTGCATGAAATTCACAGTCTTTAAAGTTTTCCTGGGCAGACAATCCGTTCTGGAAACATCCACCAGAAATCTTCTATATGTGAAACACAATAGAGGAAATGAAAGTAATTAAAGCACATCCCTTGTCTTCCAGAAAGAAGAACATACTGGAAACATAAAATATCTGAAATATATGGCACACGCTGTTGCTCTTTGGTAGAATGCTTGCCCAACATTTGCAAGTCCTGTAATCCTCAGTACAGAATGAGAAAGGAAGAAATGAAGGTAGGGAGGAGGGGAGAGGATGGGAGGGGAGGGGAAGACAATCAGAACTCTAAAATAAAGATGACTATATTGTCATAAACGAAGTACTAATGACCTAAGAATAGAGTGTAATAGGGGAATATATTGGAGAAGTTCATTGGGTGTCTTAGTTCAAGTTTCTATTGCTGTGATAAAACACTATGACCAAAAGCAACTTACAGAAGAAAGAGTTTATTTCATCTTAGAGTTAGCAGGTCACACTCCATCAATGAGGAAAGTTGGGGCAGGAATTCAAGACAGGAACCTGGAGGCAGGAGATGATGCAGATGCCATGGAGGGGTATTACTTACTCATTTGCTCCTCATGGCTTGTTCCTCCTGCTTTCTTATAGCACTCAGGACCACCAAACTCAAGGATGACACCACCCATGGTGAGCCGGGACCTCTCATGTCAATTATCAATCAAGAAAATTCACCACAGGCTTGCCTATAGGTCAATCTGGTAGGTGCATTTTCTCAACTGAGGTTCCCTCTACCAATATGACTCTAGCTGTGACAAGTTAGCATGAGACTAAGAAAGCACTAGATCCCAGAGGAGTGTATCCCAATGAGGGCAAGCTCTCAAACATTTTAGCCACCAGAGGGAAGTCTTGACCACAGTCTTGTGTCTTGTTCTGCCCACCGCCCTGTGTGTGTGTGTGTGTGTGTGTGTGTGTGTGTGTGTGTGTGTGTACAGAGGATCATGTTCTCAAGTCACACTTACACAATCAGATCTTACCTAGTATCAAGTTTTGCTAATCAGTCAAGTGAGTGGATTTAGCACATAGTGGAAGAAAAGAACCAACTTCTGCAAGTTGTCCTCTTTCCTTCACACTCAACAAACAAACAAGCAAACAAATAAACAAGTGCAAAAACAAACAACAGAAAGCAAATTAGATCCTGTCACTCCCTTGAGTGATATGTTAGGCTGTAATTCTGCGTTTGGAACAGAGTCAAATACTTCCCATTCCTGTTGGCTCCTTGAAGATCTGGCCTCTGTACACCTTCTTACAGTTCTGACACCTTTACCCAACCTCCTCTCTGAATTTGAACACTACTCACTTACACACTTCAGTGCCTCTGTGTCAGCTGTGCAGCCTGGAACTCTCTACCAGAGAACAGCTACTTCCTTTCTTTGAAGTAAGAAATTAACTGTCATCTTTTAGGGGCTGGTGATACAGCTACACATTTGATATGCAAACCTGAGAACCTGAGTTTGATCCCTGGATCCCACCGTGGAAAGAGAGACTCGATACCCAAAAGTTATCCTCTGACCTCCATATGCTTGCTGATGCATGTGTGTACCTACATCTCATGCACACAATCGTTATAAACAAATAAATAAATCTCAAAAGCAAGAAGAGTAACACCCCCCAAGTCACCTCTTAGGGAGATCTTCCATGAGCACATTCTGATAATGTTCCCCTAACTCATGACTCTCTGCTTCCCTTGCTGAAATTTTCTTCACAGCATTTGTGGCTATCTAACTCCATGACTATTAATGGCTTTATATTATCTGTCTTTTTTATCTGATAACTTCAGTGCTTAGACTGATACTTTGCATTTATACACAAACACAAAGATACTCAAGACACGTTGTTGAAGGCTGGTGACATGGCTCACCATGTAAAGGCACTTCCTACCAAACCTGAAGATCTAAGTTCAATCCCTGGGACCTACATAGTAGAAGGAAAGAACTGACTCCTGCAAATTTCTGACCTTCACATGTGAAACACACACACACACACACACACACACACACACTAGAAATGATACTGAATGAATGAATGAGAACCCTGCTTCTATTCCGGTATATATTCAGCTACATATCAAGTTTGAGTCCTACCTGAAATACATTAGATTTTGTTTAAAAAAAAAAAGGAAACATGACCTCACATCCTTCTTCTCTTTGGGTCCACTTTGGTTACTCTCATTCAGTCGTTGAGGCCAATTGCCTTGCATATATATGTGACTCAACTTTTTTATTTAACATAAATTCTTTACTGATTCTTTAGGAATTTCACATCATGTACTCCAATTCTGTTTACCTGCCAGTCACCCCATATCCAAAACAAAAAACAAAAAAGCAAAAAACAAAACCACAAAAACCCACCTATTTGCTCTTCCATCTTTCCTGTCTCTCTAACACTTCATTTGTCCTGGTGGCACTGGGAACTGAGGTGTGTCAGTAAACCTTTTAGTCCAATCAGCCTTACTAGCAAATGTTCATTGCAATGAGTCACTGGTCTAGTTCAAGGCCTCTGGTTTCAGGTACACCATCATCACTGGACCCTCACTGGAACTCCTCTGAGATGTCCCCAGGCTGCCCCAGTGACTCAACTTTTTATCTCTCACCTACATAGTACCCATTGTGCCATAAACCTTTACAGATCCATCTGCTTTACCTGATATCAACTCTTGGAAGATTAACAAGCATCTCAAACTTAAGTAGGTCCATAATAACTCTTTTGGTTTTAGCCCAAGCATTCTTCTACCACTTCTGGCAAGTAAATGAGCACCATTTACACATTTGGCTAAGTCCCAAATAAAAGTTTCCCTCAACACCTTCCTACACCTCCCAGTTTCAATGTTTTTAACATATCCCATTAATTCAACTTCTAAAATATCACTTTAGAACTGATATCATTCCCCGCCATGGTGGGGATTTTCCTGTAGTATATTTTGTAGTACCGGTCTGTTGGTGACCAGTCCTTGCTAGTTTTTGTGTATGTAAAACTGATTCCCAGGCTGGTAGAGTGCTTGCCTGGCATGTGCAAATCCTTGGTTTCAAGCCTAAGCACCCCATCCTGGTGGGGAATGGTCCACACTAGCAGCTCCAACACTTGGAAGGTAGAGACAGGAAGATCCAAAGTTCAAGGCCATTCTAGGCTACCTGGCAAAACAGAGGCTACCCTAAGCTGTGTAAGACCCTGTTCTGTGTTTACATCTGTAAAGTCTGGCAACCCACTTGGTGGTCCTCTGAATCCTCAGCTACCCAACTGGAATAATGGTGTGCTTTCTTTTGTTTGAAGAAAATCTAAAAGAACCACAAAAAATACAACAAAAACTACTGCAATTAATAAAAGCAGATTTTAGGGCTGTCAATGACCCAGGAGCTTTGGTAAAAATTGGCAAAAACTCTGTACAGCAGAGAGCAAACCCTAAGTAAACTTTAGAAAGATTAGTCTGAATAGATGGGGGAGGGAGGGAAAATCCCACAATAGAAACAAATTCTTTTTACAAATACTTGTTATTATTACGTATGTGTGTATCTGTGTTAGTGTATGCCACCTGTGTTTAGGTGCCTGCTGAGGTCAGAAGGTGTCAGATCCACTGAAGTTGTGAACAAACCACACAGGGAGTTGGGAACTGAACCTGGTCCTCTGTAAGAGTAGCAGGTGCTCTCAACCGCTGAGCCCTCTCTCCAGCCACAAGCTTCATGTTTTCAAAGATATCTGAAGAGTTTATTGACCGCACAGCTGCATCTCATTTCAGTGAGAATGTATGATATCACAACTTCAAAGAAGAGACCTCCACACCCTTCAGAAGATAGCAGAAAAGCCTAGCAGCTCCCAATGCCAGCTAGCCTATGTTCTGGTATGTTCCTATGAGTACGTTTCTGTCTTCATGGTCTTTCTCAATGCTGGGTTAGTTGTAGCCTATGAGTCAGACAAAAATGCATTAATTTTGCTGAAGCCTGTGGTTAGGATGCTACAAGCCTCTCTGGACAAGAAATGTAGCACCAGGAGCAGAGGCAGGCCCATCTCTGTGAGTTTGAGGCCAGCTTGATCTACAGAGCTAATTCCAGGAACACCAGAGCTAATTTAAGGGACTCTAGAGCTGTTACACAGAAAAACCCTGTTTCAAATAATGAAGGGGAGAAGGAGGAGGAAAGATAAATGTGTTCTAATGAAAGGATTCCTCAAGAATGGGTCAATGAAACCAATCCAGTGACAGTCAATTGGACTGGATTCCAATGTCATCAGATTCAAAGTGTAAGTCTTGGAAATCCTTAATAGATCAGGCTGGGCCACCCACCTTCAATAGGCCATTTAAATAGACGAGTATAAGTGAAAAGCAGAGAACAGAGATTTATTCAATGTTGCCGTGCTGGGAAGAGTAACAAAGAGGACTAGTGACCCCTACCCAAACTCATCCTTGAGAACCTGATGTGAAGTTTAGTCTAAACAAAGGGCAAGAGGTACAAATAACTAAGCAGTGTTGGGGAAAATGTGGTCCTGCCAGTACTGACCATCATTGCCTGTGCCCCAGTGTCACCTGCAAGTTGTGTGAAATCACTTCCTGGGAGACAAGCTCCTCCTCTGGCTGGCCTCAGGCTCCAATCTTTCCCTTTCCCAGCACGGGACTTCCAATTTCTTGGGGTGCCGTGTCTCTTCAGAATGTCTTCATTCCTGCCTGTATGGTTGTATTATCCCTCTGGCCTAGCTTGGATTTGAAGAGGGAACCTTTCAGCACACAGTAGGGACGACAGAGGCATGGCTCTTCTAGAGAACATCTCAGTGAGTAAAGTGGGTCAGCCATGGATGTGTACAGGCCAACTTTTCTAACCACTCCAACAGCAGCTTAGAAGCCGGTACGACACTTGTTTTCCTTCCTCCATGAGACTATCCTGCTTTTAATTCTCCAAGCTAAACACGCTGCTGCGGCTGGTTGCCTGGGCGACAGCCTGTAAACTAAGCAAGTCTCCTTGCACTGAGCCAAAGGGTTTGTGCACCCAGAACCAGTTTTAAATACTTTTTAAAAATAAAGTGTTTGGACTGTGCAACGCTGGAACAGAATCAAAGGAAAGGTTCTAAATCTATGCAGCTTTTAAATGGAAGCCTAGTTGAAGTGAGGGTTGAGAGCTGCTCTGGAAATCAGAGCCATGAAGAGGTAGGATGATTTGCGCTGCTACTCGTCTGGATGCTCCTTCAGCTGTGCTCCTCAACAAAACTCCCTCAGCCAAACACCACTAGGTAAGCCAAGTTTTCATTTTTCACCCTGCTTTAGATAACACAGACTGTTGCAACTTTTTGTTTTCCTCCTGGAAGAATGTCCCAGGGGAGGAACATCAGGTAAACTGACAGAAGAAACTGTGTCCTAAGCTCGAGTTGTAAAAACCTAGTTTTGACTTTACAAATAATCCCTTCCAATACTTTGTGGAAATGCCTTCAGACCACAGGAAAAACTAGTAATGACAAGAAAAGTTTATTAATAAAAATACTCTCTTCCATTGAATACTTTGTAGAGATAATCTTGTACTTTAATTACCTAAATATTTGCAAATTTTTATAACTCACATATTTTGGGGCACATTTTATTAACCTAAAGTCAGTTTTCAGTTGCTTTAAGCCTTTTCCCTATAATATTCCAAGCCAAATGTAGAATATAACAAAAAAATTTTTTTGGGAAAATGACCACACTCTCAAACGCAACTTAACAAAACTCACTGGGCCACAAAACAAAGACAGCAGAAAACATGAAAATAGAAGGGAGATCAGCTGAGAAGAGGAAGGTGGTCTGTGGGTGTCGGAGGGAGACAGGGTATCAGGGATGAATATAATCAAAAGAAATTATAAACATATGAATACATCATCGTGAAACAGTGTGTTGTGTATGACTAGTTATAAAAGTTTTGACTTTACAAGTCAGTCCATAATACAGTTAGGAACAAAGATGAATGTTATCCAGTAGAAGATAAACCTTATAGAACATAAAACATTGTTTAAAAAAATTATTACTTGAAAAAATACTTCTATATAGGAAATCAAGAAAACTTTTGTTCATGGGAAACTTAACACTGAAATGTTCAGGCTGGAAGTCAGAGGAGGAAATGTCACTCAGCCACAAGAAGCAGTGATTGATGTGTGGAGACACTACACGTGTCCTTGACTCGCTACTCTCTTTCTTTAGACATCTTAGAGTGTAACTTAGATCACCACATAGTGATCACATTGCAGGTCTTCTAGTGACTGGATGACTTGGACATCACAGTTTCGCTAAATTCACATTTTTAGTCATTTATTTTTATATTAGCGAGCAGTTACTACTTGGGAAATTCTTTCTTAAAGGTTGTGTAAGATCCAGGTGCGATGGTACATAATGCCATACCAGCACCCAAAAGTTTGAGACAGGAGGATGGAGAGTTTGGAACCAAACCTGGGACCTAGGCCAGCCTGAACTGCAAAGCCAAACCCTACCCGAGAAACAAACACACAAACAAAAAGGTTACCCGCAAGAGTTAAAGCACAGACTCTAAAACATTCATTGCTAGGTAACAACCTTGGAGAAAAGTAGTTGGGTACTTGAGATTTTAGTTCTCCTTTATGAATAATCAGATGACATAAATACTGATTTCTTGCCTGATTGTTATTTGAATACATGGTTTTCAGCTTTATTGAAGGATGGGCTGTAATTATCTTGTTTATGAAAGCATTTACTAGCCTTAAAGTGCTACTGCATTTTGAGAAGCAACTTATGAATAAATCCGAGTTGCAAAATGATTTTCTAAGATGCGTATGTGTACTGGCTTGAAAATTTTCTGTGGTTTAATTTTGAACATATTGTCTGTTCTTGCTTCCTTTAGTGACGTTCCAATCGTGACACTTATTAAATGCTAATGACTGGTATGATGACTAAGTCACTGCAGTCAGCCAAATGGCTGCTTAGAAGAACTCCAAGTGGTGTTGCTACTTGCTGAGGTCATTCTGGAGAATATTCTGGCATGTTTTAGTGAAATTGAATATCTTTGACATATAAGGTGCAAGCAGACTTTTGGACTATGTATAACAAGTCTCCAATAGAGATATTATCACAGTGTTGTTGTTGTTTGTAGGGTGTAACACCAGAGGCAACTTAGATGCCCATTACTAAGAGAAGAAATAATAAAATACAGTAGATATGGAGTAAAGGACTGGAGGTTACACAAAAATACATGGATGTACCTAAAACAAAGTTTTAAAAGTAGCAAGTTGTGCATATACATTTTTAAATTTTATTTATTTTTAACTTTTTGGTTTTTTTTTTTTTTAAGACAGAGCTTCTCTGTGTATCCCTGGCTGTCCTGGAACTACCTCTGTAGACGAGGCTGGCCTCAAACTCATAGAGATCCACCTGCCTCTGTCTCCCAAGTGCTAGAATTAAAGGCGTGTGTCCCTACTACCTGGCACATTACAATATCACTTACGTAAATTTATTATTTTATTTTTAGAGATTTACCGGGCAGTGGTGGGACATACACACTCAGGAGGCTGAGGCAGGTGGATCTCTATGAGTTCGAGGCCAGCCTGGTCTACTGAGGTAGTTCCAGGACAGCCAGGGAAACACAGAGTAGCCTGGTCTCAGAAAAAGAAAAAGAAAGAGGAGAAGAAAAAGGAAAGGAAAAAGCAAGAGAAAAAGAAAAGATTTATTTACGCATTTATGAATATGGGTGTTTCATATGCAAAAATGTCTGCATGCCAGAAGAAGGCACTACAACTAGAGACAGCTGTGAGTTGCCATGTAGGGGCTGGGAATTTAACTCAAGTCCTCTGGTAGAGCAGCAGTGTGCTTAACCACTGAGGCATTTCTCCTGCCCCAATATTTTTATTTTTTATTACATTTCATTTAATGTGTGTGGGTATAAATGTATATCTATGTCTTTGTGTCTGTGTGTAAATGTGTGCCACAGTATACATATGGAAGTCAGGGAGTCAATTCTCTCTACTAATTGGGTCCTGGGGTCAAACTCATTTTTTTTTCATGAGTTCTAAAGAATTGAACTCAGGGGCTAGAGAGATGGCTCAGAGGTTAAGAGCACCAACTGCTCTTCCAGAGGTCCTGAGTTAAATTTCCAGCAACTACATGGTGGCTCACAACCATCCATAGTGAGATCTGGCGCCCTCTTCTGGTGTGCAGGGATACACGGAGGCAGGATGCTGTATTCATAATAAATAAATATCTTCAAAAAAAAAAGAATTGAGCTCAGGTCTTCCTGCTTGCAGAGCAGGTGATCTTAGCAACTGAGCCATCTACCCAGACCCCATGTATTATATTTTACATCTGTATGTGTGTAGTGTGCATACATGTGCATGTATGTGTATACATGGTATGTGAGTATGCATGCATGTGTATGTACATACAGGGGCCTAAAGTTTATGTTGGGCTTTTTACTCAGTCATTCTCCACTTTAATGAGGCAGGGTCTCTCTCTAAGCCTGGCAGCGTGTCCTGGGGATCCTCCATCAGCCTCCTGAGTGTTGAGATTATAGGTGGTTGCCAAGTATGCTTAGCTTTTATGTTGGTCTGAGAATTTGAACACACTGAGCAGCAAAGTACTTTGTCTACGGAGCCGTCCTCCATCCCATCCTGTTTTTCTTTAGACGGAATCAAGTAACAATAAAGGCAGACTCTGTTACAACGGAACCACCCACTGTTTTGCTGGCCTTCATGTCATTAAGTCATTTTCCCCTTTAAGGCAATTATACGGAACCAGCAAGATGAACAAAAACAAACTGATTCATGATTTCCTGGAAGTGGTTTCCAGGGGAGATGTGGAATGCATCTGTGGCCATATTCCTGAAGTCCACTCAGTCCTTGGGAACCTTGACTTTCAGCACCCGCAGACTGGAAATACGCCTCTCATTACTGCAGCAGAAGAAAATCTATCAGAGGTACAGTGGGGAGGAATAAAATGGAGTCTGGCAGAAAGCAAGGAGTGTTTACCTTTGGTTTTCTGAACCATAGTAGCTTCCTGTTCCTCCACCAACAAAGTTCTGTTGCCAGGCCTTGCAAAACCCTAGCTCGGGGGGGGTGTCAAGATCATTATGACAGCACTGTCTAATTCAGCTTCTGTTTTCTGATAGATCCGGGGGTCTTTCAGCCTTTATTATTATTTTTTACGCTTTCAACAGCTTATTAGGAAGAATGTAGACATAAAAAACAAAAACTCTCACACAGACATGCCCAAAGGCCTATCTCCTAGGTAATTATAGATGCTGTCAAGTTATAATTAACACCACCACCGGGCAGGGTGGCACACTTCTTTAATCCCAGCACCTGGGAGGCAGAAGCAGATAGATCTCTTAGTTCAAGCTCAGTCTGGTCTGTATAGTGAGTTCCAGGACTACCATGGCTACACAGAGAAATCCTACCTAAAAACCAAAACCAAACAAACAAAAAACCACCCAAACAAAACATACTTAACACTATCACACCACAACTGGCCTTGAGCTTGCTATACACAAAGATGACCTTGAGCTTCTGATCCTCCTTCCTCCACCTCCCAAGCACTGGGATTATAAATGTGGGCCACCACGTCCAGTCTTTGCAGTATTAGGACAAATTCTAGGGCTTCATGCATGCCAGGCAAGCATTCTACCATCTGAGCTCCATCCTCTGCCTTTGTAAGAACTGTCTGCTGAAGTCCTCCAGGACTTTGAAAGACAGCTCAGTGGTCTTCCGCATTGACACCACTCCAGTCTCCTGTGCTCGTCCCCATCTTTACATTCACCACACTGCTGCTTTCTCAGCAGTCTCTGCATCCCCAAAACATTATGAGTAGCTTGAAGTCTGGGTAGTTACCTGGTTCACTGTCTAGGGTTTAGACCAGGGAAAAGTCGTGACACACACTGTGCACCTATTCCATACTTACTGAAAAACTAATCACTTTTGCACTTAAATGTAGTTTACTCACTCTCCAGAAAGACATAAAAATATTTGAAGCATTCAGGACTTTATAAGCCAATCTAAGCTGGAGTAAAGTGTACTTGCCTAGAAAATACAAGACCCTGAGCCCAATACTTGCTCCTCTACAGACAGCTAATAGACATGTAGATAAATACCAGATCATGGAGGGGGGTGTGGGGAGGCGTAAGATAAGTAGAATGATGATAGGTAGATAGATGGTAGATTGATTGAGATAAGTAGATGGCAGGCAGGCAGATAGAGATGATAGATATATAGATAAATAATAGATAATTGATGATAGGCAGACAGATGATAAACAGATGGTAGAGCGTTTGTTTAGCATGCATGAAGACCCTGTTTGAGTCCCAGCACCACATAAACCAGGTGTCATGGAACATGCTTCTAATTCCTGCACTTAGGAGATAGAACAAGGGAATCAGAAGTTCAGGGTCCTCAAGGCTAGGCTGAACTACATAAGATCCTGATCTTGTTTCAAACTACAACAATAACAAAGATTTCAATGCTTATGCATCCTTAGAAGAAAATATTTATAGACCTCCAGTCTAAAAATACAGTTCTCAGAAATCACCCATATCACAGAGTCTTTTTGTTGTTAATTTAGAGTTTTTTCTGAGGGATGTGGAGGGGCAGGATGTCACTATGCAGCCCAGGTTGGTCTCAAACAGAGATCTGCCTGTCTCTGCCTCCCAAAGTGTTGGGATTAAAGGAGTGCTCCACCACACCAGCCATCACAGAGATTTGGTTTCAACATTTAGAAAGGTAAATAATAATTCTCTGAATTCAAATATTTTTTGTGGTGCTGGGGACCTCATGGATACTAGGCACGGGCTCCCACCACTGAGCTACACCCCCAGCCTGTAGTCCTCCATTTTTATTCCACTCTTATCTGCTTTTGCTTTATTAGGAATGAGAGCCATATCTAAACTAATCTTCTATCTGGCCCTAAAGGTACAGCTGACACTCAAAAACATGAAGAATTCTGGAGATGGAGCTAGAGAGATGGCTCAGTAGTTAAGAGCACTTGCTGCTTAATCATGAAGACCAAAGTTGGCATCCCAGCACCCACATAGGACAGCTCACAAGTAACCAATGAATCTGATTCCGTCTTCTGGTCTGCATGACACTCCCCTCAACACACAAAGGCACACATACTCATACACACACACACACATACACACACACAAACACAAAGATATACACAAACATTAATTAAATTAAAAACTAATTTTATAAACCAGGTGGTGGTGGTGCATGCCTTTAATCCCAACAATACTTGGGAGGCAGAGGCAGGTGGATCTCTATAAGTTCAAGGCCACCCTGATCTACAAGAGCGAGTGCCAGAACAGTTAGGGCTACACAGAGAAACCCTGTCTTGAAAAACAAAACAAACAAAAAGTAACTTTGTAAGCCAGGTATGGTAATACATATCTTGAATACTAGCCATCAGGAAGCAGAGGTATGCAGATCTGTTTGAGCTTGGGGACAGCTTGATCTACATAGCAAGTTCCAGGGTAGCAGAGTGAGATGCTCTCAAAACACACACACACAAAAAAAAACCTTTAAAAATTTGAGTGGGGAGGAGAATATGCTCAACGTATGTAATTATGAACATTTTAAAATAAAAATAAAAACAAGTCTTTGAATCTTAATCACTTTACTGTTTCACAGGTTGTTGAGATTCTTCTAGAGAGGGGAGCAGATATCACCCTCTGCAATTACAGCAATCAAACTGCCATCCACGTGGCCAATGGTGACACACGAAGACAGCTCTTGGCAGGCAAGAGAATTCAAGACCCCCAAATGCAGCTGCTAAGAAGTTCGTGGCAAGGGGATCTCGAACAGCTCCAACACTTGCTGGTTAGTTACAGTGTTTACTTGGGGAGGGGTGGACAGATGTGCAGAAGACAGATTATGCCTGATACAGGACATTTAAGTTTTTAATCTTTGTTTTTAATTGTGTGTGTGTGTGTGTGTGTGTGTGTGTGTGTGTGTGTGTGTGTGAATGCAGGCATGAGTGCTCACAGAGGCCACAAGAGGCTGTCAGATCTCATGGAGCCTGTGTCACAGGCAGCTGTGAGCTGCCTACTCTGGGTTTTGGCAACTGAACTCTGGTCCTTATGAAAAGAGTAGCAAGCAGTCTTAACTGCTGAGCCCCCAAGGCTTCTTCCAAAGGAAAAGAAGGCTATTTTCAAATGCAATGCCAGAAAGTCTCAGGCAGGAGAGATAAGAAAGATAACAGGACCAGACAGGTCAGAAGTAGAAAGCAAGATTCTAGAAGAACAGAGAGGCAACCTATTTCCACCCCCTCTATCTAAGAGTGAGAAGTCAGGCAGCACCCCAGGGAAATGATGAACCCCAGGAAGACCCAGAGGACCGCTGTCAGCTTGCTCAGAGATGCTCCCTGGGTATCACTGCCATTTGCACAGTTGCTGTTTAGATCCCTTTGGGCCACTGGCAATTATCATCGCTATCCTGAAAAGGGAATCAGAGAGCTTACACATTGCACAATATGTAGCTGTGCCCAAAGAACTTTAGGGGAACTTGCTTGTGTGTGTGTGTCCATGTGCACATGTCTGCATATGCATGTGAAGGCCAGAGACCAACTGTAGGCATCACTTGGTCTTTTTGTTTTGTTTTGTTTATTTGGAGACAGTTTCACATTTGCCTGGATCTCACCAAGTAGGATAGGCTGGCTAGCCAAGGCTCTTCCTGTCTCACTCCCCAGCACTGGGGTTGGAAATACATGCCACACCATGCTATTGTGTGACAATATTCCTGTGAAGATATGAGCAAGCATCTATTCACCCCAGATAGGTAACTGAAAACAAGCCAAAGTATGGATACCACGAAGTCCAACTTGGTGAACTAGTGAGTTTTGTTGGTGTGACTTACAGGATATGGGTGAGGAGGTTCCTACAGGAACATAAATGTCTCAAAGGGAGCTGCAACACCAAAGTCCACCCAGGCACAGGTAAAAGCTCCTGAAACCTGGAACCTAGAGCTAACCCACAACCTGCAGTAGCTCAAAAGGGTAGAGAATGTCCTTTGCAGGTAGCTCAGTTGGTCTGAATATCTAGAGATGGTGGGCTGCTGGCTGCCAGCTGTTTCTTCCAGGCAGTTCAGCTTGGCTCTGCTTCTTCTGTGCTGCAAAGCTGAATGGGACTCTCAGTAGGCGGTAGGGGAATGAATCTGGTCAGTTTCTGGAACTTCCTGAAGCTATTTGAGTTGTCTACGTGCCGTCTTAATGAGCTTCCCTGAAAGATGGAACATTTGACCTCCATTTAGAACATCCTTTAGTTTTACCTTCCTTTAACACCCTGTGTTTTAATGAGTGCCCATCCAAGATGAATGTTTTTAATCTCAGAGGAAACTACTATATAACACAGGCCTGGATTTTTATGTGGGTTCTGGGGATCAGATTTTGGTCTTCATATTTGCATGGCAAGTACTTGACCAACTGAGATGCCTCTCCAGCCTGAAAATACATTTATAAAAAGATTTTATTTATGTTTTTAATTGTGGGTGTTTGTGTGTGCATTAGAGCACATGAGTACAGTGCCTCTGGACTCCAGCAGGGAACTGATTGGATCCTTTGGACCTGGAGTTACAGGTGACTGTGAGCAACCCAGCCTGCATGCTGGGAACGGAACCCAGGTCCTCGGCAAGCATGGTACAGGCTTTTAACCACTAAGCCATCTTTTGGCCTCAAGAATATATTTATTAAATGTTGTCTTTGGAGGTAGCTAATACTCTTATTTAGAGACTTCAGCCCAAAGCACCTTACAAAATTGTATGGCTAACCAAGGACTTTAATTATTAGCAATTTATCACTTGTAGCAGTGGCCCATGTGATCTTCCAACTGAAAGGCAATCAATATTGCTGCTAGGAAACACTGTTTTCCTAATCCCTTATGGTAAAGACATAAACAGATCAATAAATAAAAGCTATCCTCACCAGGTGGATTTCAAGGACAACTGTAACAAAACAAAAGGACATTTTTCATGCTTTTGTTGTACTCAATGATAGTTTAAAATGCCATACTTCCATAGCTGAAGCTTAGAAAAATTTCCAAAAGGCAATCCATTTTTCTTAATAGTAGTCTTGTCGTATATAACTGTAACCCAATCTCTGTTTTTATAACTACATTGGTTTTTTGGTTGTTTGTTTGTTTTCACCCCTGAAGAAATGACAACCAAGCTTTAAGGAACTATTTTTTGCCTGGAATGTGAACCCAAGCTTAACCAAGAGATGCTAAGTTGATGCGCTGTTGTAATACGACTCCCAGCTCAAAACCTTCATGTCGGCTCTCGATAATAATAAGCATTGATCTAAGAGGTAGTTTCTTCTCAGAGACTGAGAAAAAATTAACTAATTCCCATAGCACCCTGCTGAGGTAATATCATTATCTCCATTTTGCCCCTGGAGAAGCTGAGGTAAAGACTATATTGCCATGGCAGAGAGTGAAACAGAGGTGAAAATTAGCAGGTTACTTTGGTCTATAAAACAAGCAGTTTATATATTTTTGGCCTTCCAACAGACTTTTGATTATGATGGTCTGAATATATTCTCTCTCTCTCTCTCTCTCTCTCTCTCTCTCTCTCTCTCTCTCTCTCTCTCTCTCTCTCTCTCTCTACCCTTTCCAGATTTCAACACTGGGTGTTTTTATCAATCACTGCCTGTCTTTCCATCTCTGAGCCTGGAGCTCACCAGTTTGGTTAGACCAGCTGGTCAGCGAGCTCCAGGGATCCTCTGGCTCTGCTCCCCCATTCCTGGGATTATAGGCATACACCGCCATACTGGACTTTTCCTGAGGGTGCTGGGGTTACAAACTTGGGTTCTCACAAGCAAGCATTTTTATAAGTGAAACCACTTTCCTAGCCCACATTTATTTTTACTAAAGCAACTAATCATATCCACATGCCACTTCTGCTTTGACTATATAAATGCAGTTAAATGACATGGTTTCCTATTGCAAATCATTCAGTCATCAATGTTCAGGGAACACCTGTCTTGTGTAAGTCATACTGCTAAGTGGTTTTCATATTGTGTCACTAGTCATGCATGCAACCCTACAGGGAAACACTGGTATGTCACCTGTGTTGTGCATCTTAGAAGGACAGTAAATAGGGTTGCTAGGGTTAGCAGAAGGATCATTGGGTAAAAGCTTTTGCTGGTCAAGCCTGTCACCCAAAGTTCTATGTCTAAGACCCACAGTGGAAAGAGAAAACCAACATACCTCTTATGGTATGTACACACCTGCATTCAAACGCAAGTACGCGTGTGCGCACACACACAATACCTACATACACACACAGTAAGATACTTTAAAATAGGGCTACCAGATTTTGCAAATAAAAATACTGGACATCCAATTATGTTTGGTTTATCAGCTATAGAAGCGAGGACATTAAATTTACATTTCAGATAAACAAATTATTTTTTAGTGTATGTGCCAAATAAAAGTGCTGAATCATTCTTCCTTTAACTTCTCCTCCTTTATTTTGCTGGGGTTACTTGTTTTCTGTGTACTTGTGGATATGTACATCTTCAAGTGCATACGGGCACCTGTGTGCAGGTGGAGGCCAGGTAACAGGCGGTTTTCTTTAATCACTCACTCTTCCTTCCTCTCTTTCTCTTCCTCTCTGTCTCTCTCTGGCTGCCTCTGTTCCTGCATCTCTCTCTCCTTCTTCTTTCTTTCCTTTTTTAGAAGACAGTCTCTCACTTGCCCTGAGCTTGTCAAGTAGGCTGGTCTGGATGATCATTGAGGCCCAGGGACCCACCTGTCACGTCACAGCTTCCCCGGCACTGGCATCGTGTGTGCACACTGCCGCTCCTGGCTTTTTTATTTGGATTCAGGTTATTGAAGTCAAGTCCTCATCACACTTACTCAGCAAGCACTTGCTGTCTGAGTCAGAGCCACAGCCCCATCAAAGTGATTTTTAAAATTAACCATTTAACAGTGCCTTGCTAATATAACCTACACATATGTTAAATGGCTTTGGGAACCAACTCTGAAACCCAGGGCCGAGGTCTTTTGCTTTATCTGATTCTCAGGACAGGTACTGAGAAACAGTATATTGAAGAGGCCGGAGACATGGCTCAATTGGTAGAATGCTTGCCTATCATGAATGACGCCTTGGGTTCAACCTCCAGCATCACATAAACCAGGTGTGGTGGCACAGGCCTGTAACCCCAGAGCTGGAAACAGGATTATCAAAACTTCAAGGTCACCTTTAGCTATGTAGAAAGTACAAGTCCAGTTGGACCTACATGAGACCTTGTAAAAAAAAACAAACAAAACAAAATGGAGAGATGGCTCAGCAGTTAAGAGCCCTGACTGCTCTACCAGAGGACCCAAGTTCAATTCCCAGCACCACATGGAAGCTCACAACTGTCTATAACTCCAGACAGTTTATGAAATCATTCTGTGCCATCACCAGGATATAAATGAATGTTCTGTCCGATGTTCTCAAGAGCATCAGCAACACTTAGAAGAGAGGCAAACTCCAGGGCTCCATCAGGCTGTGCTCAAAGTCATTGTCCAGTTCCTAACTATAATGGTGAAACATGGCCACATAGGCAAATTTGAAGTCATCGATGATCACAGAACTTGGAAAGTCATTGTGAATCCCGAAGACAGGTTAAACAAATGCGAAGACATCAGCTCTAGGTTTGATGTGCAGCTCAAAGACCTAGAAAATAACAGAAAAATCTGCTCCCATCCCATCAGTTTGTCTCATTGGACTTACAGCCTCAACTATGAAGTAGCAAGATGAAAACACACAAGAGGGAAAATCCTGGCATTCTATATAAAATATAATTAAAACGCCTCCACATGCTTATTTACACAATGGATTACTACTCAGCAGTAAGAAACAATGACATCCTTAAATTCTCAAGACAGAACTAGAAAAAAACATTCTGAGTGAGGTAACCCAAAACCAGAAAGACAAATATAGTATTACTCACTCATAAGTGAATACCAGACATAAAGCAATCCAGCTTAAAAGTCACAACCCTCAGAGAACCCTCTTCCAGAAACATATGGAAGCAGATGCAGAAATCCACAACTAACCAGTGGGCCAAGCTCCTGGAGTACAATTGAAGTGAGGGAGGAGCAAAAATATGAACAAAGGAGTCAAGACCATGATGGGGAAACCCACAGAATCAGCTGACCTGAGCTAGTGAGAGATCAACTGACTTATGTCTGACAAATGGGGAACCTACATAAGACCGAACTAGACTTAATATAGGTAACAATGGTGTGACTGGGACAATATATGAAGCCATTGGCCAAGATCTAACGTTAATGCACAACTGACTTAGTGGAGCCCATTCTGTATGGAAAGATACCATGCCCAGTCTAGACACAGGGATGTGAGGGTGGAGAGGTGCCTTGTTCTGCCTCAATGAGATGATGGGACAGACTTAGTAGACTTTCTAGGGGAGGCCTTACCCTCTCTGAGGAGCAGATGGAAGGAGGGAGGGAGTGGAGGGAACAGGAAGAGAGGAGGAAGGGGGAAGTGGGATTGGAATATAAAAAATAAATTAATACAAAAGAATAAAATACAAAGACTCAATAAAAAATGCCTTCACCTGGGTGGGGAGACTATATTAAAGTTAAGGCTGAGGTATAGCTCAGTGAAATCCCCATTCCAGGAAAAAATGTTAAAATGAGAATTTGGTCAAGCAATGAAAATGCAAAGATTGGTTTTAGTAGCCATATAGTAAAAACACAGCAGTAACCAAAACTCTTGTTGTTGAAGGCATCTGAAGAGTTCCTGGATATAAACTTCCCAAACCTGCATGGCCTGACCCCTCTGATGCTGGCTGTGAGAGATGTGGACCTATTTGAAAGTCTGGATATATTAACAGTCTACAAACCTGCGGAAGTTCTAGCTGAGCTCCTCAGGCATCATGCGTGAGTATGGGTGGTCAGTCAGCACAGCACCAGCTGAAAGACAGTGACTCCATGCCAGGCGGTGGTGGCGCACGCCTTTAATCCCAGCACTCGGGAGGCAGAGGCAGGCGGACCTCTGTGAGTTCGAGGCCGGGCTGGACCGACAGCCTCCAAAACAATACAGAGAAACCCTGTCTCAAAAAAAAAAAAAAAAAGACAGTGACTCCATTGTAATTTATCAGAATATGTAAACCTAGATGTGTGGACTGTTTCATATATAAGTGTGTGTGTATGTATATATGAATATATATGACTTTTTTGTAAAACTATAAAAGGGACTTCAGTATAACTTTGAGGAATGGGAGGCTGGGTGTTGGTGGCACGTGCCTTTAACTCGGGAGACAAAGGCAGACGGGTCTCTGTAAGTTCAAGGCCAGCCTGGTCTACAGAGTGAGTTCCAGGACAGCTTCCAAAACAACACAGAGAAACCCTGTCTTGAAAAACTAAACAAACAAACAAACAAACTTTGAGGAATGGACTAATATTTAAACTGACCACTCTTTTTTTTTTTACTGCGGACCACTATTCTTAAGACATCTGACTATTGGTCTAGATAATTGTTCTTTGGGCACTGGAGATGTAGCTTAGTTGGTAGAGCACTGGGTTCAATCTCCTGTCAGATGTTGTGGTATCTGTTATCTCAGCACATGGGAAGTAAAGGAAGGATTAGAAGTTCAAGGTCATTCTCAGGTCCACAGTTGAGTTTGAGGCCAGTCTAGAATTACAGGCACGGGCTACCATGCCTTGCTTACTCAGTATTAGGGATAGAACACAGGGTTTTGGCATATTAGGTGTTGTAGTTTCAATATAATTGGCTCCCATAAGCTCATAAGGAGTGGCACTATTAGGAGGTGTTGCCTTATTGAAGTAGATGTGGCTTTGTTGTAGGAAGTAGGAAGAGCACTGTGCAGGCAGGCTTTGAGGTCTCCTATACTCACGCTACAACAAGTTCAGTTCACTTCCTGTTGCCTACAGATCCAGATGTAGACCTCTTACATCCTTTTCCGGCACCACGTACACCTGGACACAGCCATGTCCAACCGCAATGAAGGACTAAACCTCTGAAACTGTAAACCACCCCAATTAAATGTTTTCCTTTATAAGAGTTGCTGTGTGATCATGGTGGCTCTTCACAGCAGTGGAAACCCTAACTAAGACATTAGGCAAGCACTCTACCAATGGAGATACAGCACTGGCCATCATGTTTAAAATTTTGAGAAAAGGTCACACTCCACCTCCTATGTTTTTAAATCATTATTATGTCCCAGACTTAAGTTTTCTGCTTATTTGATGTCAGTTTTCTTATGTCTTAACAGATTTAACCTAATAATCTTTGATGCTTCTTCTATTCTCCCCAGAGATCCTAAGCTTTGTGACTTCAGTGGCAAGTCAGCAATACATTATGTGTCACAAATTGAAAGTTGGAGGAAGCAGCAGCTATTGGACATCCTGATGAATTCTATGCCCAAACCAGGTAAATATTCCTTTCTAGATACACACTCCCCAGTTTGAAAGTCTTGTTTGAAGTCTGTCTTTCTGCTTCACATCTATTGAATAACTCCATTTGTTTGTTTGAGACAGGATCACACCTATATATCCCTGGCTGGCCTAGAACTCAGTATATAGACCAGGTTGACCTTGAACTCACAGAGCTCTGCCTGCCTCTGTCTCACAAGTGCTGGGATCAACGGTGTGTTCCATTACACCCTACTTCATTTAAATAAATCAAATCGGTGACTCTTTATTGAGCAGCGACTCTCTGAGCACAGGATTAATGATCTAATGATCTAAAGGATGCAAAGAAGTCTTGCTCCTCACTCTTATGTATTTGTGTGCCTGTGTGTGTATAGGTCAGAGGTCAACCCCTAGTGTTTTTCTAAGGATGCTATACATCTTACTTTTTGTTTTTTAAGTAATTAATTTATGTGTGTAAGCGTGTGCCTGCTTGTCGATATGTGTACCACATGTACACTGTCCTCACGGGGGCCAGAAGAGAATGTTAGATCCCCTGGAACAGGAGTTAGAAGTGACCGTGTGCCACCGTGGATTCTAGAAAACAAGCCTGGTTCTCTTTGATAATAACAAGTACTTTTAACCAATAAGCCATCTCTGCAGCCCCCATACCTTGTTTGTTTGAAACTAGGATCTCTCCCTTTTTCCTAGAAATTGCTTATTCAGCTAGGCTGACTGACTGACTAGTTAGCCTCAGGGATTCTCTGGTCTCCACCTCCCCCAGTACTGGGATTACAAATTCATACCACCATGCTGGCTTCTTTTCCTATTTTGAAATGTATTTATTTTAATTTATGTGTATGGATGTTTTTCCTGCCTGTATGTCTGTTTATCATATATGTGCCTTTCGCCAATGGTGGCAAAAAGAGGGCACCAAATTTCCTGGAGTTACAGTTATGGGCTACCATGTAGGAGCAAGGAATCAAACCCAGGTCCTCTGGAAGAGCAATCAGTGCTCCTAATCACTGAGCAATCCCTCTGGCCCTTCTTTTAAATTCAGGTTTAGGGCTATTGAACTCAGATCCTTTTGCCTGCAGGAAACCACTTTGTCAACAGAACCTTCTCCCAAGAGTTAGTTTGAGGTATCTAAATGACTGAATGGTCTTCATAAATCCTCACATTACATTTTACTTTGATTTCCTTTGCTATCATATTGTGGGGGGGGATCATCCTGAATCCATGAGACTCTTCCAGGGCAATTCAAGAGAGCAAAAGGACAGTTATTAACCAGCACTTCCTTCAGAACTGTAAGCAAATCTATTTGGAAGAGAATAGAGAGGTTTTCTCCCACCCATGCACCCACCCAACCACCCACCAACAGAAGTCCATTCAACAGTTCATCTTGTGAAGGGCAGACATCCTTCCTGTCTGTAGCACTCTGGAAAGGCAGGGATCTCAACCCTGAGATACCTGTTGATGGCTCTGATGGTTGAAAAGTTCTTCCCCAAGTCCCAGCACCTCACAGAGGGTGTGGCTGTGAGAATGAAGTCATTAAGAGTGAATTGCTATAATTATGTTGAGCCAAAAACTGACTCTCCCCCCCGCATGCTTGTGTGTGAAGTAGGTATACTCTGTGTGTGTGTGTGTGAGTGTGTGTGTTCACTCACACACATGCCAGAGGTTGACATCAGGTCTCTTCCTCCATTATGCTCCACTTTATTTACTGAGGCAGGTTCTCTCACTAAACCCAGAATACACTTTCTGCTTGTCTAGGTAGGCACCTTGTCCTGGGGATCCCGTCTCTGCCTCCTGAGTGCTCAAATCACAGACCGTTACTACACCTGCCTGGCTTTTACGTGGATTCTGGGGATCTGAACTCTGGGCCTCATGTTTGCATAGCAAGTTCCTTGTCCCCTGGGCCATCTCCCCAGTCCTGCTCTTGCCTTTTTTTTTCCTGTGAAAATTATTACCTAAAGTTTCACGCCTGACCATCCTTCCAGAGAAATCTGACCAAATGGAGCCGATGAAACCTAGAGACAGATCCTCCCATGAGACTGTTGAATCTCACAAAGAACATGTTGTTTCTTTTTGACAGAAAGACATGTGGAGTCACTGCTTGACATCTGTCATGAGACAAGCTCTTCTTCAATGGATGTGACAGTTTCCAAAACTGAAAACATCATCTTGCAGAGCATCAGCAGCAGTGAGGTAAGAGGACCCACATAAAGAAACAGGCTAAAGAAAATATTAAAGAGAGAAAACAGGGGATGGAGTGGCAGGTCAGCAGTTAAGAATGCACACTGCCTTAGCAAAGGACACAAGTTCGCTTCCCAACACCTGCATGGCAGCTCACAACCACCTGTAACTCAGTTTTGAGGAATGCAGTGCCCTCTTCTGACCTCCACAGACACCAGCTGTAGGCAGTGTGCATACACTCAAGTAAGAAAGACATTGGTGTAGATGAACTAAAATGAATAAATCTTAAAAAGAGAAACAGTAAAATTTCAAAAAGCAACAACAAAAGTGGAATGCCTGACCCACCTACTGCATCATTTGTACTGTTTCAGTGTTTTGTAATAATCATACACAAATACCATATAAATTATGTAAATGTCGGTATCATGTGTATTTTGAGGCAGTCTTGTTATACTGTTACTATGTAGTGTAAGCTGGCCTTGAACACTTGATCCTCCAACTCTAGTGTCCCAGGATCCTGTGGGATATAACACCGTGTCCCCAGCTGATCAACTACAGATCAGTTACAATTCAAAATGTAACTGGGGGCTGGGGAGATGGCTCAGCAGTAAAGGGCACCAGCTGCTCTTCCAGAGGACTTAGGTTTGATTTCTGGCACCCACATTGGGGTTTGCAACCATCTGTAACTCCAGTACTAGGACGTCTATACCGCCTTCTGGCTTCAGCTAGTACTGCACAAATACGGTACACAGATATACAGGCAGGCAAAACACCCACAGACATAATTTTTAAACGTAAATTAGCTAGTTAACATGGAGTGTGTGTACATCTTAATTCCTACTGTTACAACAAAATGCCATAGAGTGACTCATAAACAATAGAAATTTATATCTCAGTTCTAGAGACTGAAGAGTTAGACTAGATGTTGTGTGACTTTTCCTGGGGATAGGTCAACAAATGTCTAGTCATCTGACAGGGCACAAATGACAAACCAAAGAAAAGATTCCACTTACAGCTAGCTTGGTGACCCAATGATCTCATTGATTTTTTTTAAGATCACGGGTGAGGGGGCTTCATACAGGAGCATAGGTGACCCAAAGGCAACATGGGTGGTGAATCCAGGAAAGCTGTATCCTTGAAACTCAGAATCTACAGGAAGCTCAACTAGAGTCTCTCTCTCTCTCTCTCTCTCTCTCTCTCTCTCTCTCTCTCTCTCTCTCTCTCTCGTCTCTCTGTCTCTCTCTCTCTCTGTCTCCCTGTCTCTCTGTCTCCCTCTCCCAGTAATTTTTTACTGCCTATATAACCTTGGGATGGGCCTGAGTCTTGGAAGTTTTATGAGCTTCCCGAATCTTAGGAGCTCAATCATACACACACACACACACACACACACACACACACACACACACACACACACACGCTGGAAGTCTTTGGTTCATTCCTCATTCTGCTTCTCTGGTGTCTTGAATAGGGTCACTAAGCCCATTGAAAGAGCTCCACGCTCATGAACTAATTAGGTCCCAAAGGTTCTGCTTCCTACCACCATTGTTTTGGGAGTTAGGACTCCAACATAAAGTCCTTGTTGGGAGACAGGCATTCCATTATCTGTGATCTGTCACATATGTGGATAACACAGACGTTGTTGTGGCTTTGTCTGTACTAAATACCATGCCATAAGATTCCATTTATTTTAGATGACTTTTAACTCTTTATTGTTTTCCTTGCAATGTCAGACTCTTCATTTTAGCACATTTTTAGCTTCTGATGTTATTTAAATTTTTGAATTACATTTTTATGGGGGTGGAACTCACAGGCATGTTACAGTACACATGGAAGTCAGAGGACAGCTTTTGGGAGTCAGTTCTCTCTTCATACTATGTGGGTCCCAGGATCAAGCTCAGGTTACCATTCTTGACAGCCAGTGGCTTTCCCACTGAGACATCGCCTTGACATTCCAATGGCGTTTTTAAGAAATCTGTTCACAATCTAGTTTCTCATGCTTTACATTCTCCCTACCCTTCTTTCTCTCAGGGTTTAGAATCTTCTGGTAGTTTTAGTGTTTTGAAAGTTCACAAGGCTAGAGTTATAGGACTTAGTTATAGGACTGGGACCAAGAAATGCCCTTTACATTTGGAAACTCAGTTTCGAGTCAGGTCCCATTCATCCCAGGCTGACCTCAAACTCCCTACATAGTCAAGACTGACCTTGAACCACCCATACCTCTGCCTCTATTCCCAAGTGTTCAGATTACAAATATGTGCCACCATGCCCAGTTTTACATGGTGCTGGGGACATTGAGTTACACCCCAAGCTGGTTGTAGAAATTTAAAAGCACAAAATCAGTTGTAACTTCCAGTAAAGGAGCATATCATCAATAATGACTCTGAGGCTGGCAAGATGCTTCAGAAGGTAAAGATGCTTACCACTGCTGGGCAGTGGTGGTATGTCACGTCTGCTGCGCGGCCTGTGTCCGAGAACGTGCGGAGGGTGTCGGGTATTGAAAACACAGAGACTCGTTCAATGATATAAAGAGAACTTTAAACAGGCTCCAAAAAGGTTCAAGAAAACCTCCTAAGAAAAGCTCCCACCAGAGAAGCTTCTGCTCTCTCCTCTCCCCTGGCTGGTTTTGCTCTGACCCCAGAGGTGGATGTGTGTGGGTTTTTGAAGGTGCGGTTAGTCTTTGGACAAGGTCGAGGTCAGGGCGGTTTCTGTGGGAAGGCCTTTCCCAGGAACTTATTGTATCATTTTTAGTAAACATGTTTTTACTAAACATTGTCTTACAGCTGCCTACTCCCAGGCAGAAGGGGAAGTGGCCAGGAACTTATTGTATCGTTTTTAGTAAACATGTTTTTACTAAACATTGTCTTACAGCTGCCTACTCCCAGGCAGAAGGGGAAGTGGGTCTCTGCTCAAGGTCTGGTGTTCCCACAATTCACCCCTTTTTATTTTCAAATGAGGCACTCCTGGCTTAGGTCAAGTAGGGTCACCCTCCCTTTCCCGTCTTTGGGGGACCTTGAACCCCTGTTTTAGGTGGGAGGGGTCTTCCCCACAGGTTGCCCGTCATCGGAGATACCCCAACCTTAAATCATTTGTAACCAACCTTCATGGCTATCGGGATTGCCATGGGCTAAGCTAAGCAATACTTGGTTACGGATCTCTTGTCTCTGGAACAAGGCACGTTTGAGCTTGGCATAAAGCCAGAATGCCTACCGCCACTGCCACCATTTCCAGGACCCCCATTGACATAGCGCCTCTCCATTACCATACCCATCACCAGATCTGGGCCATAACATTCTACCAGCCTTCGTCTGTTACAAGGGTAACCCGCATGTGATTTACATTTACAATTTGATAAAGTTTCCAATCATTTCAAGATCTGCTCAGGAAAGCATTTAGAAAGTGCACTTGCACAGATACATTGGGCACAATCATTGATGTTACACATGTAGCATTATGAAAAATATGAACAATAGTTGTCACATTAGGACAAGTTGCATTTCTCCAGAAAAATACACTGGCCTAGTCGTGATTCCAGAAATAGGAACCATCAAGTCTGATATTTCAAGTGACCATGTCCTGTTCAAATACTGAAAAGAGGCTTTTGCCACTCATCATAGTCCATACCAATGTCCAAATGCTTTAAATGGGTCCTTTTTTCTCTGTTGGCTTCATGATGAAAACTCATGGGTCTGGAAGGTTGATGCAGCAGGTGTGTTGAGAAACTGGAAATCTCGAACTGACTGTTTTCTTTCTTTCTTGGGCTGTAGATTCGATGACATCAAGGGTCAGGAACACTGATTTAGGAGATCTCACTCAAACTGGCTTAGGTAGGCTCCCATGGTCTCAGGTCCAGTTTTTCTCTGCTCCATGCATCTCACTAAATGGTCTGACAGCTGCCGAAGCTTTATTCTTTTCCTGCAAGAAAACACAAACATGCCCTCGACCCCAAATTAGGGTCTTCTCCACTGTCTAGTGTATGGATGTCTCCATTTGACCTGAGCAATGGTTGCTCAAGTTCCATCATGCCAGAATCTGTCTGAAACTCACTGGCATTCACATTATAAAATTTTTAAATGAGGAGTGTATTATTTGATGAGTCATGTGGGGACTGGGGGCATTATTTCTCCTTTTTTATTTTCTAAAAAATTTTTTTGAACTGTTGAAGCTGGGCCATAACAGTAGAAGGATTTGTCTACCCTCCTTGTTTAACTATCTAGGTAAATTGGGCTTATTACTTAGATTATTTGTAGATGTCCATTAAAAAGGACATATCCTTTGAATATTTCCCAAAAACTTCTGAAAAATCACTCAAAGATTGTAAACCATACTGTGTCCAAATAACTTTTTGAAAATTATTTGAAGTCTGTGAGCAGTCTTTCCCAATCTAACCTGTAGAGCTCTCACTAGCTGACAAGGCCTCATTTGCATCTTAAATTTTTCTGTTAAAACATTAACAGACTGGCTGGATGTTCCTTTTGGCTATATTTAAAGCAATCTAGGTAGCTTCTTAACTATTTTTGAAGGGATTTAAGTATCCTTTTAATCATATAAGCAGTTTACACTCACGCATTCACAATCACATTTCATACATACTGGTGTGGCCACACCATACATTCAGAACATACATGCATCTTTCAGTCATCCTTTTTCCCTAGGTCATGATTAGTCTGTTGCAATGAAGCTTCCTTAATTGAAATCTATGTAAAAGAACAACTCCAGCTAATCCTTGAACTAAAAAGGTTAAAAAGTCCTATATGTTTTTATCATTCCTTCATTTGAGCTACAGTCATGGGGTACAGCCGTACCTACTCCTTGTAACTCTGTAGATGCAAGGTAGAGAGGCCAGGCTTTTGGCCAAAAGTTTTTAGAGATGACTCACAAAATAGAACTTAAATGTAAACAAAATTTTCCATTTCATATACCTTTGTCTTTGTCTTTTTCTTTAATTAATACCAGTACCATTTTTTTTTTTGAGTCAGGGTTTCTCTGTATTGTTTGGATGCTATCCTGGGACT